TCTTTTTGGAGGCTGGATTTTATGAGGAGGTATATGGCATCAGGATTGGAGGAAAACACATCTACAACCTGTGCTATGCAAATGACACAACCTTGCTTACCAAAACTGAAGGTCTGAAGCGTTTTCTTAAGACAATCAAGTACTGAAGTCTTCCATACGGATTGAAGCTCAACATCACAAAAAAGATTCTCACCACTGCATTAATTGGCAGCACCATGATAGATGGAAAAAAGATTGAATTTGCCTACAATTACAGCTTGCTCAGTTCCACAGTCAACACTCTTGGCACCAGTAGTCAGGAAATGAAAAGACAAATTACATAAGGAAAATCCACTGCCAGGGACCTCTCCAAAGTGCTGAAAAACAATGGTATCAGACTAGGGACTAAAATATGCCTGATCCAGGCCATGGCCTTCGCAATTACTTGCTTTGCAGCAGAGAGCTGGACAATGATTAAGGATGATAGAATAATTTATGGTTTTGAATTGTGGTGCTGGAGAAAAGTATTGAACATTATTACATGGACTGTCAAGAGAACAGACAGATCTGTTGTAGAGAAAATGAAATCAGTTTGCTCTTTAGAGGTAAGGATTTTGAAGCTCTATCTGACATATTTTGGGCATATTTCCAGTAAGAGCCAGTGCTTGGTAAATTATATCATGTTTGGAAAGGTGGGGAGACAGCACAGGAGAAAAAGACCCCAGATGAGATGGATTGACACAGTAACTTGGATAATGGAGTAGGTGTGTCTAAGACAGTGAGATTAACTCATGATAGGACAGGGTTCAGGGCTATTGTGCATAGGATCACTGAGTCACGAGTGACTCAATGGCATAATAACAACAAGAGCAACATGGCAAAATATGTGAGATGAAGCTTTATCATCTTTGTCTCAAATGGACACTCTGGCTGTACCTTCTCCAAGACATACCTGTTTGTTCTTGTGGCAGTCCATGGGATATTTCATACTGTTTTCTGACACCACAGTTCAAAAACAGTAATTCTTCTTCTGTCATTTTTATTTATTGTCCAGCTCTAGGGAGCGTAGCAAGTGATTGAAAAGACCATGGCCTGAATCGAGCCCATCTTAGTCTTCAAACAGACATCATAGCTCCTCAATAATTTGGAGAGGTCCCTGACGGCAGACTTTCATAGTGTAATATGTCTCATGATCTCCTGGTATTGCTGGTACCAGGTCCAATGATTGTGGATACAAGCAAGATGAAGTTTTTTACAGTGGCAATCTTTTTTCCATCCGTCATGATGTTGCCTATCAGTCCAGTGGTGAGAATTTTTGTTTTCTTGAGATTAATTTGCAATCTATATTAAAGGTTGTAGTCTTTGATCTTCTCCAGCAAATACTTCAAGTCCTCCTCAGTTTCAGCAAGCAAGATTATGTCATCTACATAACGGAGGTTATTGATAAGTCTTCCTCTAATCCTGATGTCACATTGTTTACTTCAGAGTCCAGCTTCTCATATGATTTGCTCAGCATATAGATTGAATAGATATGGAGAAAGAGTACAACTCTGACACACACCTTTCTTAATTTTAAACCATGTAGTTTCCCCTTCCTTTGTTGAGTACAATTAAGTATTATTGGGGGTCTTATTCTTCTCAAAGTTAACCATAATTTGTTATAATCCACACAGCCAAGTGCCTTTGCATAGTCAATAAACCACAAATAGAGATTGTTCTGGAATTTTTTTTCTCTCAGTCAAAATCTATCTGGCACCAACAATGATATGCCTGATACCACAGTGTCGTCTAAATCCAGCTTGAACTTCTGGCAGTTCTCTATGTACTATTCTAGCCATTTTTTAAATGGTCTTCAGCAGTATTTTGCTCGCATGTGAAATTATTTGAAAATTTCCACTTTCTGTTGAATCACCTTTCTTGAGAAAGGCAACAAATATGGATCTCTTCCAGTCAGTCAGCCAAGCAGTTGTCTTCCAAATTTCCTAGCATAGACTTATGAGCACTGGCTGCATCTGTTAGTTGAAGCATGTCCTGGGGCCTTATTTTTTAAGATCTATTCATGAGTTGTCATCTCTCTGGTTATTTGCTCAGCACTCGGCTCTCTGTTAATTATAGAACAGTCACTGCATGGTTGTTTGGGTTTTCTTAACCCATGCTCTGGCATTGTCTTTACTAAAGACATGAGTTTTATAACTCAAGGAGCCACTGGGGCAGAGGGAGCCCCAGGTATATATTCACCTTGTGTTTGTCTTTCTAAATCAGGAGAAAAGCCTGACCTTGGAGGGTCCACAGAGCTGGAAGAGTCAGAAACAGGTAGTACTTCCCTCTGGAGCTCACTTGTCAGGCAGATCCCTTGACAATCAGGAAAATTGAAAATCTAGGGAGCATTAATGCATCCACCCCAGGTAGTCCTGTGAAGGTTTACCTGCAAATGACATAGCATCTCTGATAAGAGAAGCTGACCATGAGATGATCACGGCTCAGTTCCCAGTGGTTCTGCTCTGAAGTCAGTTGCTCCAAATTAGGGATAAAAAGATTCTGCACATAAGGCTGGTGAAACATAGCTGGCTGTGTGTAAGGTGAGGAGATGACCAGAACTTTTGTATCTCATGTGTTTTAAGTCTTCACACACTAACTCAGACTGACAGCAGCAGCAGCGGAGGACAGAATCTTTTCTTCTTTTATACCAGTGGGTACTAGCCCCATCCGGTAAGTTAGTAAACAGTAGCTCTCTAATAACAACACATTCTCTGAATGATAGGTTGGGAAAAGGATAGAAAAAGAAACCAAACATAATCATTGAAGGTCCCTTCGAAGGTCTGTGAACTCAAGAACAAGTTCAGTGGTAAGTGGGAAAATTGGTACCCAGGCCCATAGCTGTATCACCATAATCCCCAAGAAGGGAACTGCTTCAGACTGGGGGAGCCAATATTGTATAGGAACTGGACACTTTCAGATATTACAGTAAAGCCTTCTTTCCGAGCATGAAAGATTTCATTCAGACGGGAAGGAGAATTTGACTCAGACAGTGAAATGTCTCTATTCAGGTAAAATGTACACACCAAAAAGACTGAGAGTTAAAGGAAGGAGTCAAAGCTATCCCTCCATCTGCTACCACTCTCCATAAAGGCTGCTCCCAGATACCTCCCTCCATGTTCTTATTGGACAAGTCGCACGTGAGTCACCATTTGTCTCACTGAAGCAGAGACCCTGTCTCCTCCCACATCCCACACCATTGGAGGCTGACTCCTCCACCTGTTTCCTAGACTGTAGAATAAAGGAGCTCAGAGAGGGGTCCAGGCCAGAGAGCACAGAGTCCTGTGGAGGTGAGAATGCTGCCCATCAGACTGTCTCCATCCCAGACCCAAGAATGTGACTCAACCACACCCCACCTTTTCTCCCCCTGCAGATGCTGTGGCTGCTTTTACTGATCTTTCTCTGTCTGGAGGGTTCTGAGCCCATGAACTCAGGTAAGTCCTGAACCCTTCTACTGCCTACCCTGTCCCTGATCTCTAGGGAATATTTCTGGTCTTGGATGAGGACTCCATATTAGGATTACCTGGTTCACTGCTGCACGCAAGGAGGATATGAGCAGGAGAGGTTATATGTGCAGTGAGACCCATGCGGGAATCCTGGATTCCCCAAGACCTATTTCTCTTCTTTCTCAGCTCTCAGCCTGGAAAATGAGCTTGTGGGCATTACCGGAGGACATGATGCCTTGCCTGGGAAGTGGCCATGGCAGGTCAGCCTGTGGTACAACGATTCACAAAAAGGCCAGGAGACATTTTTTTGTGGGGGCTCTCTCATCCACCACCAGTGGGTGTTGACTGCTGCCCACTGTGTCTCACGGTGAGTGACTTCCACTGACTCCTGGTTTGTTCACTTTACTGGGCTGTATGATGAGTCCTGTGGAGGGTGATGAGCTGTTTTACCTCAGTTTTTAAAAAACTTATGATCTTCTTCCTCTTACACCATGGCACAGTCGAGGGCCAGGGAAAATTCTGGTCCAAGTAGGACACTTTCATCTCTCAAAAAGTACCCATCTAAGAGTGAGTGAGGTCATGGTCCATGAAAACTACAATCTTCAGGAGAACGCAAAAGGTGGAGGTGACATCGCGCTGCTGAAACTGATGGCCCCTGTAAATGTCTCCAAGCTCGTCGGTCTGGTCTCCCTCCCACCAAAGGAGTTCAAGCACCTGTCAGACATGAGATGTGTGGTTACAGGCTGGGGTAACGTTGCATTTAAAGATAATGACCAGGATGCCTGGAGTCAGAGGGGATGGGAAGATCCATAGCAGAACACTGTGGGTAATTAGCACAGTGTTATCAAGAAGACTTATACCCAGATAGAAGTAGATTGGTGTTAAGAGTAGTAGAGGATGTTGTGAAATGATTCAAGAAGACTCAGTAAAAAGCACATAGACTAAATATGGTGGGAGGGGAGCCCTGACGAGTCTTCACCAGATGTGAGGAAACCTTCTAGAGTTCCTTCACCTTGAAGATGAGGCTGGAAAATGAGACCAAGAAGGACTAACAGACACTCTGGTGGCCCAAGACCCTCTGATCCAACAGCCCTGACCTTACATTTCAGGGGGAAGACTTTCTTCTAATCTCCCAGTAACAACGCCACAGGAGTCAAGGAAGTTTCACCTTGGTTTCCCTTCTGAGTCTAGTATCCATGATATCAGCCTAGAGAGTATTAGTTTATTGGCACAGGGACAACTTGTGGAGTGGATGGTGTGAGGTCTCACTGCTCATGAAGGGCAGTAGTGTGAAGCTTAGTATTTGTTTTCATACCATGCACTCAGTATTCCCAGTTACAAGATCAGATACCAGGGGAGACACTGCTAGGGATCATTGCTTGACTGCTGTAGGGAACGGGGGGTGGTGAGTGCCTTCATCCTGTTCCCTTCCTGCTCCATAACTCACTCAACCTTTCTTCACAGAGTCACTCCCCAAACCCAAGTGCCTACAGGAAATTGAAGTGCCCCTGGTGGGTCAGCAGAAGTGCAAGAAGATATACAAGAAATTACTTAGGCCCAAGAATATCAAGGAGGACATGATCTGTGCTAGGGCCTCAGGCAAGGACTCCTGCCAGGTAAGACTCCCAGTCTTGACCTCAATCTATGTCCCTTCCCACTGCCCAAAGTGCTCACCCTCTGTGTCTTCTTCTTCCTCAGGGTGACTCAGGAGGGCCCCTGGTTTGTAACTGGAATGGCACCTGGGTCCAGGTAGGAGTAGTGAGTTGGGGTGAATACTGTGGTTGTCCAGGAATCCCTGGAGTCTACGCTCAAGTGACATACTACTTGTCCTGGATCCTCTGCCATATATCTTCACTTTGAGCCCTGGACAGGGACAAGGATGCTACTGACACAGCAGACACTCCAGGATCTTTGGAAACCTCCTCATTGGACCCTTCCCTATGCTAACTACTCATCAACCTCAAGCTCTCCTCCATCTGTGCTTAAGGTCCTCCTGCACCTGCTACCTCCTCTAAGTCCTGCCCACTGTTTGATTACTCAAAATGACAGCAAGAATGATACTGTGCAGACTCTAATGACCTCGAAGAGGTGGTACAAAGAAACTATGGACCTTATCTTCCTCCTCTCTCTGTCTCAATAAAGCTCACGAAAGCAAGCTCTGGGCTGAGTGTCTTCCCTTAAGTGTGTGGCCAAAGGAGTTAGTGGTGATGTCTTCCTGATTAGAACACAAGGGATGGAATATGAACGTGGATGCTAGGTGAGCAGCTGAGCCAAAAAGTGAGAGTGATGGAGGGGAGGTAGAACAATTATGGAAATGGAGGGATGGACTGTTATGAGGATGGATTGACTCAACATCCTATCTTCTAGTCTTACCAATATCATCTCCTTCCCCATGAGTTCATTCAGTGCAGCACTGTGAAGGAACAACTAGGCTTGATGCCCCCCATTCTTCTTGGGTTTGGGGCTGTGATCATGCCCCATTTCTTGATGGTGATGCACCTGGTCTTTGACACCTGGGTTTAGAGATAAACTGTGAGCAGTAGGCAGGAAGCACACTTTGGAAGGGAAGAGGGAACAGGAGGTGTCAGTTCTCAATATTGTTTTCTGGTTTAGAGTTTCCCAAAACATCTCACTTGCAGAGATGCTCAGGTACCTCCATGGCCACAAGGGAGCCTGCAATGGTGGTGTCTTTGGTTATCAAATTGTGGAGGGAGGGTGGTGGATGTGGTCACACTGATTCATTGATTGATCTCCCCCAGAAGATTAAGTTCACCCTCTGGTCTTCAGGAGAAAGATCAAACAGTCTGCTTTTATAAAGATTGAGATCCTTGGAAAACTAAACGAGCCAGTCCTAAGCTGTTCGAGGTCAGAAGAGCAGATTTGGAAACTAGACACACTATTGTGGGGGAATGCACACACACACAGTACTCAGGCACCTTTCCCAAACTTCTTTTTCTATTCTCAATTTCTATCCCTGTTCCCTCATGCCTGAGGAAGAAATGGCCAGATCTCTGCCTAGACATCCTATGTCCCTTTCCCACTGTACACAAGACACTATCCAATGAAATGGCTTTAACAGTACTCTTGACTCTGACAAGTCTGGAGTAATAGCAAGTATCCAGAGTTTGGTGCATTTGGTGAAGGAAAAAGAAGATCCCTTCCTTCATTTCCGAGAACTCTCTCATCCACTCTGACCCTCAAGATTCCTAATTGCTCCCCCAGGGGTCCCAGACCACAGAGTCTCCCAGAGTGCTAGGACAGAGGCAGAAGCCCAAACAAGCCTCAACTTAACATCCCCCAAGTGACCCCCTACACATGTAAACATTAACTAGGGCATGGGATTTAAAAGAATGCCAGAAATCCAATGATGAAGTAATGTTGTTGTTGTTGTTGTTGTTGTTGTTGTTGCTGCTGCTGCTGCCCCTGCTGCTGCTGCTGCTGCTGTTGCTGTTGTTGTTAAGTGTCATCAAGTCAAGTACATCCATAGACCCAATTAACAATAGATCTGAACCTTGTCCTATCCTGTGTCATTCTCATCAGCTCTGCTATACTAGAGCCCATTGTTACAGTCACTGTGTCAATCCACTCATTGAAGATCTTCCTGTCTTGAGCTGACCCTTCACCTTTCCAAGCATGACCTCCTTTTCCAAGGACTTGCCCCCTCCTAACAACATACTCAAAATACGTAAGAGGATGCTTTGACATCTGCACTTCTAAGGAGCATCCTGGTTGCACTTTCTCCAAGATATTTTTGTTTCATTTTGTTTTGTTCTTCTGGAAGTGCATGGGATATTCAATTATTATAAAGTAAAGCATATTTTATTCAAATACTTTTATATTCAAATTAATCTTAAGACATATGATAGCAGAAATAGCAACATTGTCAATGAATACCGGTGGTCACATAAGGCACACACCAGCCCACACAGGTGCTAATGCTGGTCAGTGGAGCCTTGAGAGAGGAGACCTGCAGCAGATGGCAGTGGCTACATGACTGGCAGTGAGTGGAGACTATTCAAGAGACCAGAACTGCAGCAGGCAGCAGCTGCAAGAGGGAGCAGTGGAGCAGTTGTGGCTACAGTCTCAAGACAGAGTGGAGCAGTGGCAGCAGGACAAACCAGCATCACAGATGTGACTGGACAGAAACGGAGGTATGGGAGGGTTAGAAGTGGATGCCAGCAAAGCAGGGCAAAGGTGGAACCAAATCACAGGCGCCAAAGGGCAAATGAGGACAAGGAACCAGCACTTATGGGTAAAATGCTTGCCTGCCAGATATTGCTCTAAGTTGAACATGTAAATTAACCCAGACAGTGGCTGACTCTGAGAAGAATGGGAATCCCAGAACACCTGATTCTTTTAATATGAAACCTATACTTGGACCAGGAGGCAGTCATCAGAACAGAGCAAGGGAATACTGCATGGTTCAAAATTGGGAAGGGTATACGCCAGGGATGCATCCTGTCTCCATACCTTTTCAACCTGCATGCAGAGCAGATTATCCAGGAGGCTGGGCTCTATGAGGAGAA